CTTGCGGAGGTGCTGGTGGCCGTGCTGGTGTCTGGTCGTGCTGGTGGTCGTGCTGGTGGTTGTGCTGGTCGTCGTGCTGGTGGTTCTGCTGGTGGTCGTGCTGGTGGTTGGTAGTGGTTGTGCTGGTGGCTGTGCTGGTGGTCGTGCTGCTAGTTGTGCTTGGTGTCGTGCTGGTGGCTGGTGGTGCTGGCTGGTCGTGCTGGTGGTCGTGGTTGGTGGAGGTGCTGCTGGTCGTGCTGGTGGTCGTGCTGCTGGCGCGGTGCTGTTGGCTGGGCCTGCTGCTCTCCATTGTGCTGGTGGTTGTGCTGCTTGTCGTGCTGGTGGTCGTGCCGGTGGTCGTGCTGGTGGCTGGTCGTGCTCTTGGAGGTGCTGGTGCTCGTGCTGGTGGTCGTACTGGTGGTCGTGCTGGTGGTTGTGCTGGAGGTCGTGCTTGCGGAGGTGCTGGTGGCCGTGCTGGTGGCTGGTCGTACTCGTGGTCGTGCTGGTGGTTGTGCTGGTCGTCGTGCTGGTGGTTCTGCTGGTGGTCGTGCTGGTGGTTGGTAGTGCCGGAGGTGCTGGTGGTCGTGTTGGTGGTCGTGCTGGCTGCTGCCCGTGCTGGTGGTTGTGCTGGTGGTCGTGCTGGCCCCCCGCTCCTTCCCTGCGCCCCCCTCCCCTTGCACTCATGCTCCCCCCGCCCTGAATCTCCACGAGCGCCCTCCGCCGTGCTCTCACCGCCCTCGCTGGTGGTTGGTGGTGCTGGAGGTGCTGGTGGTCGTGTTGGTGGTCGTGCATGTTCTTGTGCTGGTGGTCGTGCTGGTGGCTGCTCGTGCTGGCGGTCGTGCTGATGGTCGTGCTGGCCCCCCCCCTCCTTCCCTGCGCCCCCCTCCCCTTGTACTCGTGCTCCCCCCACCCTGGGCCTCCACAAGCGCCCTCCGCCGTGCTCCCCCGCCCTCCCCGGGCCCCCCCCCTTCATTCCTTCCGCGCCCCCCGCGCCCCCGCGCCCTGTCCCCCGTGCCCCCCCCGCTCTTTCCGGGCCACCCTCCCCTTATTCCGACCGTGCGCCCCCCCGCCGCTCCTCCCCTGCGCCCTCTCTCCTTGCCCCCGTGCTCCCTCGCGCTCCCCGGCCCCTGCGCCTTCTCCTCCGTGCTCCCCGCCGTCCCCGAGCCCTCCCCAATCCTTATTCCGACCGTGCGCCCCCCCCCATCCTCCCCCCGTTCTCCCCTGCGCCTCCCTCCTCTTGCCCCCGCCCTCCCTCGACCTTCCCCGCGCCCCCGCGCCCCTCTCCCCCGTGCCCCCCCCGCAACCCCCGGGCCCCCCACTCCTTATTTCCGACCGTGCGCCCACCGCCGCTTCCCCCGCTTTCCCCTGCGCCCCTCTCTCGTGCCCCCGGTGCCCCCTCCACGCTCCAGATGGACCCCCGCGCCTTCGCGTACCGTGCCTCCCCCCCGATCTTCCCGAGCCTACTTCCCCTTGTTCCCGACGTGCGATGCGGCCCACCCGCCGTCCTCCTGCGCATTCTCTCTCATCTGCCCCCGTGCTCTCTCCGCGCCTCCCCGGCCCCCGCGCTTCTCTCCGCGCCCCCGCCGCACGTCCCCGAGCCCCCCCCACACTCCTTATTCCGACCGTGCGCCCCCCCCCTCTCCTCCCCCCGCTCACCCCCCTGCGCCTCCCTCCTCTTGCCCAAGTCCTCCTCCCACCCTCCCCGCGCCCCCGCGCCCCTCTCCCCCGGGCCACCCCCACTTATTCCGACCGTGCGCCCCCCGCGCTCTTCCCTGCGACCTATTCTCCCTTGCTCCGGCTGCGCCCTCCGCGCTCCCCGGCCCCCGCGCTATATATCCCCCGTCGTGCGCCCCCGCCGTCCCCGAGGCCCCCCTCCATTTCTTATTCCGACCGTGCGCCCCTCCCCCTCCTCCCTCCGCTCTCCCCTGCGCCTCCCTCCTCTTGCCCCCGTCCTCCTCGCGCTCTCCCCGCGCCCCCGGGCCCTTCTGCCCCGCGCTCCCCCCGCCGCCCCCAGGCCCCCCCCCCTTTTGTCCAACCGTGCACCTGCGCCCCTGCTCCTCCCATTCGCCCCGCTCCCTTCGCCCCGTGCCCCCGCCCGCGCCCCCCGAGCTTCCGCGCCTTCTACCCCGCGCTCCGCCCGCCTTTCCCGAGCCCTCCTGCCCTTATTGCGACCGTGCGCCCCTCCTCTCCCGCCCCTCCCCTGCGCCCCTCCCCCCTTGCACCCGTGCTTCCCCCGCGCTCCCCGGACTCCCGCGCGTGGTCCTCCGTGCCCCCGCCGCCCTTCCCGGGCCCCCGCCCGTATTCCGACCGTGCGCCCTTCCCCCGCTCCTCCCCTGCGCCTCCCTTCCTCTTGCCTCCATGCCCCCTGTCTGCCCGGATGCCCTTTCCCCTTGTTCCGACCGTGCGCCCTTTTCCCGCCCCTCCCCTGCGCCCTTCCCCGATGCTCCGTGCCCCCCTTCGCGCCCAGCCCACCCTTCCCCCGCCCTGCCCCCCCGCCTTCGTCCGCCCCCCCCGCCTTCCCCGGCCCGCGCCCTTTTTATTCCGACCGTGCGCCCCCGTCCACCGCTCCTCCCTTGCGCTTGTCTCCTCTCGCCCCCGTGCTCCCTCCGCGCTCCCCGGGCGCCCGCGCTTTCTCCTCCGTGCCCCCCCCGCCGTCCCCGAGCGCTCCTCCTATTCGACGACCGCGCGCTCCTCCCCCGCTCCTCCCTCGCCCGCCCCCCCGCCCTCCCAGTGCCGCCCAGCTTATTCCGACCGTGGCCCTCCCTCCTCTCCTTCCCTGCGCTTCCCCTCTCTGCCCCCGTGCCTCCATCTTCCCGGGGGCCCCCTGGGCTCAGTCCGACCGTGCGCCCCCCCCCCGCCCCTCCCCTGCGCCCCTCTCCGTGGCCCCGGTGCCCCCCCACAGTTTCCCGGGCCCCGCGCCTTCTCCCCCGTGCCTCCCCCGCCCTCCGGGCCCCCCTCCTCTTATTCCGAACCGTGCGCCCCTCCCCCCGCTCCTCCCACCGCGCCCCCCCCCCCCCTTGCCTCCGTGCTTCCCTGCGCGCCCCCGCCCTCTCCGGGCTTCCGCGCCTTCTCCCTCGTGCTCCGCCCGCCTTCCCCGGGCCCCCCTCTCCTTGTTCCGATCGTGCGCCCTCTCCCCGCCCCTTCCCTGCGCCCCCCAATCTTGGCCCCCGTGCTGCCCCCGCCCTCTCCGAGCTGCCGCGCGTGCTCCCTCGTGCGCCCCCCCCGCCTTCCCCGGGCCCCCCTCGCCTTATTCCGACCGTGCGCCCTCGCCCCGCTCCTCCCCTGCGCCCATCTACCCTGCGTGCCCCCCACCATTCTTCCCGGGCCTCCGCGCCTTCTCCCCCGCGCCCCCCCCGCTCTTCACGCTTCGCGTATCCCGGCCAGCCCATCCCAAAGCAGCCGCCAGGCGAGTTGCCTTGCTGAGGGAGGCGCAGCAGCAAGCAATCCAAAAGTGAACCACATCCGTCTTGCAGGCCCCTTGGGGTCGCCTCTGGCCGTCTGGGGCCATCCTGAGGCTATCTTGGGCCGTCTTGGGTGCATCTTGCGCCGTGTTGGAGACGTCTTCGGGTCATTTTCGGCTCTCTTGGAGGCTTGTTGGCCGTCTTGGAGGCCATATTGAGCGTCTGCGAGGCCACTTATGCCGTCTTTGGGCCCTCTGAGGGCCGTCTTGGGGGGCTCTGGGGCCGTCTTGGGGCCATCTCGGGGCCTCTCGGGACACTCGTGGGGGCGCCCTGGGAGCCCTGCAGAGCCTCTTGGGGGTCATCTTGGAGGCGGTAGGTCAAACGAGGGGGGGGGGTCCTACCGTCTGCTCCCCCGCATGTGAACCTCCGCGTTCGTGAATAATGGAAAAGCACGGAAAGTTGCAGCGATAGAAACGCAGACTCCAGCCGCCTTGCGGCTCTGGTCCAAGATGCTTCTCTTGGTGCAGGGCGAGCGCATGGATGTTTACAAGGACATCCGCAAAGAGCTGCAGTTACATCCGACGAAAAAAAAACCCTGCATGACAAAGTGTGCGAAGCTTTGGGCCAGCTTCTGCGCGAAGTGTACGAGTTTCAGTTTGTATTATGTGAGGAAAGCCAGATTATGAGCAAGCGCATCCAGGATGCGACTGACGCGGGCGTGACAGCGCCCCGCGCAGACTCGTCCGATCATTCCGAGGATATCGACCCCGGCCTTTCCGGGGGCGAGTGGCGCCGCGGGAAAAACAACGCGTGGGAAGAGACGAAACAAGATATGCAGGAGGTGGAGGAGGAGAACGGAGGAGATCCTCATCAGTCTCCTCCTCCTCCTCCCTCTCCTCGTCCACGCGTGTCCTCGTCATCCTCCTCTTCGTCCTCCTCCCCGTCCCCATCTTCCCCCCCTTGCTCCCCCCCCCCTCCTCCTCTTCCCCCCGACGGCGGCGGCGACCTCGACGACCGCGACGACCGCGACGACGACGACCACGACCGCGACGACCGCGACGACCGCGACGACCGCGACGACCACGACGACCACGACGACGACGACGACGATAACGACGACGACGACGACCACGACGACCACGACGATCACGACAACGACGACGACGACGACTTTGACGACGACGACGACGACCGACGACGACGACCGCCGCCACCACCGACGACCGACGACCGCGGGGCCCCCGAGACGGCTTCGGGATGCAGAAACCATCGGGGCCGCTCCTTCGTTATGGTCCGTCGCAGGCCTGTCGGAGCGCTCGCTTTGCCCCCCCCCGTGCCGGACCTTGGCGCCGTTGCCATCTGCCGTCTGTCTCGCGTCCGCGATTGCGTGGCCCTTGGCGCGCGCGCCCCTTGTTGCGAAGGGCTACTCCTCAGCGGCCCGCCCCAACCCCCGACGCAGAACCCCCTGGTGGTGGGCGAGTGCCTCGCTTGGAGGAGGGCGCGCCCGCTCCCCCCGCAGGAGGTAGACGAGGCGTGCGCCGAAGACGGGCGGCAACCTGGACACCTGGCCATCGCCGGCGCCCGCCCCTTCAATCCAGTGCGCGGGGCTCAGAGCGGCGACCGCGCCCGCCTGCTCATGGCCCACGGCGAGCCCCTGGAACGTGGATGTGCGCAGGTCGAGGGCGCGGCCGACATAGGGGAGGCCGCGATCGCGATCGACCTGGTCGCGGCTGCAGAAGACGGCTTGATCGAGCGTGGGGGGAAGATCTTGGTGCTCGCCAGTCACAAGGGTAAACTGGTCTCTCTGCGAAAGGGCAACCCGTTCGCGCTGGGGCCCCCCCTGGGCGCGCGTCGCTACGAGCAGGCCGAAGGCAATGGCGTGGGCAGGTCTGGCACCCCGCCTGGCCCGCTCCCTGGCGCGCCTCCCGGGGCGCCCCGGCCTGGCCGCAGGGCGCCCCCTCCCAGCCGACTTCCCCGACTCGCCAGATCGGCAGGGGCCTGGAGAAGAAAGCGGCATCGCCATGCGCTTCTGCGGCCTGGAGGAACGCTGCCTGAGACTATTCGAGAATAACCTCATGTCCATTGGCGCCGTCGACGGATGCCATGGCGACGAGGCCGCGCTAGTCATCGCCTGCGCCGCTCGAGCCGACGGAGCCAGATGCTGGGGCTTCCTGGGCGACCCCAGCAGAGTCGACGTCGCCCTCGCCAGGGCCGAAGACGGGGCCATCAACGGCAACGCGTGCAACTGTGCCGCGAGCTCGCAGCGCAAGATCCTGGCCGAATGGGGCCTTGTTTCAGACTCTGGGTCCAGTGCAAAGACGCCGACCGGGCAGGCAGCCGCCAGTGCCATGGGGGAGTCTTGGATTCGCGACAACAGCTCAGCCGAGGACGAGAAGCTGATAGAGGAGGAGCGTGAGCTACGGGCCTGGTATAAGAAGGTCGGCGAGATACGCGAGCCGCACGGCCCGGGCGTCGCCCCGACCCACGACGCGCCCTTGCCCGCCAGATGGGGCTGGAATCGCCTGGCGGACGACCTGCAGACGACCCGCGCTGCCCTCCTTTTGGATCTGGCCCCGTTCCCAATCGCGCGCCACGTGCTCGCAGTGCACCCGCGCCAGTGCGGCCCTGGAGACGCCCCGGCAGACCTGTTTGAGCATGCATTGCCGATAGCTTCTCGGCCGCGAGGGCTGCGTCTTCGTTCTTGAGCTGGGCCTGGGCCCGACAAACTACGTCTACACGGGCCCTTGGGCAATCCTCCTGAACCTCGCTGGCGTGGCTCCGTCCCAGGTGGCAGACGACGCAATCCCCGGAGACCCCCCCCCCTCCCCCCTCTGCGCCGGCAAGGGGGCCGGGGGGGGGGGCCTTTCTCGCTTCTCCTGTCTGCGCCGGAGAAGGTGTGTAGGGGGTGCGGAGTTCGGGTAGGGCGTGGCGAGTAGTGGGTAGTGAGTTAGTGCGTAGTGAGTAGTGAGTATTGTGTAGTTAGTCGTGGGTAGTGAGTGGCGAGTAGTGAGTACTGAGTAGGGAGTGGGGAGTAGTGAGTAGTGAACAGTGAATAGTGTGTACTGATAAGTGAGTAGTGAGTGGCGAGTAGTGAGTAGTGAGTAGTGAGTAGTGAGTAGCGAGTAGCGAGTAGTGAGTACTCAGTAGGGAGTAGGGAGTAATGAGTAGTGGGTAATGGGTAGTGAGTAGTGAGTAGTGGGTGGCGAGTAGTGATTAGTGGCTAATGAGTAGTGTGTAGTGCGTTGTGCGTAGTGCGTAGTGAGTAGTGAGTAGTGAGTAGTGAGTAGTGAGTAGTGAGTAGAGAGTAGTGAGAATTGAGTAGTGAGTAGCGAGTAGCGAGTAGTGAGTAGTGAGTAGTGAGTCGTGAGTAGTGATTACTGAGTAGTACGTAGTGCGTAGTGAGTAGTGAGTAGTGAATAGTGATGCATTGAGAGTAGTGGGTAGTGGCAGTGGGTAGTGAGTATTGAGTAGCAAGTAGGGAGTAGCGAGTAGTGAGTAGTGAGGTGCGAGTAGGCGTAGTGAGAAGTAAGTAGTGAGTAGAGAGTAGTCAGTAGTGAGTAGTGGGTAGGTAGCAATTTGTGGGTTGTGAGTAGCGATTAGTGAGTAGTGGGTAGTGACTAGTGACTAGTGGCTAGTGACTTGTGACTAGTGACTAGAGACTATGTAGTGATCTAGTGAGTAAGGAGTAGTGAGTAGTGGGTAGTGAGTAGTGAGTAGCGGGGAGTGAGTAATCAGTACTGAGTAGCGAGTATGGGAGTAGCGAGTAGTGAGTACTGAATACTATGTAGTCAGTATTGTGTAGGGAGTAGGGAGTAGCGAGTAGCGAGTAGTGGGTCGTCAGTAGTGATTTGTGGGCAATGTGTTGTGAGTAGTGAGTAGTCAGTAGTGGATAAGGGGTAGTGGGTAATGAGTAGTGATTAGTGAGCAGTGAGTAGTGAGTAGGGAGTAGTGAGTAGTGCTTAATGAGTAGTGAGTATTGAGTAGGGGGTAGTTTGGGAGTGAGTAGTGAGTAGTGAGTAGGGAGGATGGAGTATTGAGTACGGAGTAGTGAGTAGCGAGTAGTGGGTGGTGGGTAGTGAGTAGTGGATAGCGAGTAGTGAGTCGTGAGTAGTGAGTAGGGGGTAGTGAGAAGTGAGTAGCGAATAGCGAGTAGTCAGTAGTGGGTAGTGAGTAATGAGTAGTGAGTGCTCTTTGGGGCTGGTGTTAGTGGTTGGGGTTAGGGTTAGGGGTTTGGGTTAGGGTGAGGACTAGGGGTAGGGGTGGCGGGGGTCGGGTTCCGGAGTCAGGGGGCGGCGTGGCGAAAGGGAGGGAGGGGGGGGGCTGCGGCCAAAGGGGGGGATGGGAGGGGGGGGGTTCGGATCCCCCCCCCTTTTGAAAGGGGGTGAGGGGGGAAGGGGTTCCCGACGACGGACGAGGAAAGGAGGGGGGGGGGGGTCCCCGACGACGGATCGGGGAAGGGGGGGAGGGGGGGGGGTCCCCGACGACGGATCGAGGAAGGGGGGGGGGTCCCTCCCCCCTTGGGGAGATCCAGCCGCGCGCCCTCTTGGATTCCCCCCTCTTTCATTCGAACCTCTTCTCCTCGTCGATATCCGTGGTTCGGGATATGGTTTAGCGGGCGCGTTTGATATGTCCAAGGTGGATTGATGCGGATCGCCGCAGCGACGAGTCTCCTTGTCGCGCGGAGGAAGAGCTGCGCTTTTTGGGATTGTTGTGGGGGGTTTCTCTGGTGGTCTCAGGAGGTGCTATTGTGCGAGATCGCAGATTTGCATGCCGTTAGTTGCATCTGTCGGCGGACAGTTGCCTGGGCCCACAACAAGGGGCCTCCTTGATTGTCCCTCGCAGGTTTTTTCCTCACCTCGGGATACTCTCCAGTTGCGGCGTCTTGCCGAGAGCATTCGGCGGAAATGCCAGAACCGTTCCAAACGGCTGCCAGATGCCCGGGACATGCGCGAATGCAATCGAATATCCAGACCTCTGGAGGCTCGCGAACATCGAGTCTGGAGTTTCTGGGCGTTTCTGGCCTCCTGGGGGGCTGCTCTCGAGCCCCCGGAGCAGTCGGGGGCCAACCCGGGGCGAAAAACCGATGATGTTAGGGAGAGGTCTGCGTTCCCAAGAGCTGGGCGCTCGGAAATATGAAGCAGTCGTAGGTTCTGATGGACTTGGGCGCGCTTTGGTGGCCGCCCCCATGCGGTCCCGGGAAACCCGCGATCGGCTCGAAACCCTTCGAGGACAGTTCGGGGCCCGCCCGAAGGAGCACCATCCGCCGAAGACGACCCCGAGACCCGCCCAAAAGGGCACTGAGACCCCCCAAAAGGGCCAACCGAAACCCGAGAAGGCGCCCGAGAGGCCCCCGAACGCAATTGTGATTCGCGCCCGCTGGTTCGACGAGTGCGCGCTCTGCGCTTCACCTTCTGCTCGATGGACGGCGCGTGGAACTCTTGAAGGCGGCTATCGAGCTTGCCTGAAGACATACCAAAGGTTCGGCAAGATCCCGAAAAGGGTCCCAGAGGCCCCCGTGGACCCCTCTAGTAGGGGGCGGCCCCTCAGAGGTCGAAAACAACGAGAACCAATTCCGCAGCCAAATGCTGGCTCCAGAATCACGTTCCAATTCGACCCAGCCTGCGAAATTTCAGATCACTTGTGCATATGCTTCCGCGGCGGCGCATGCTCGCGAGCCTCCCGAGCTACATCGACTTATTCTTCCTGGCATTGGCTTGGGTCTTGCAGTGGTATTCGATCCTCAAGCCCATCGTCCTGAGCCTCGTGGCCCGTGAAGGGGGCCCCGTGGTGGCGTCGGTGTTGCAGGACAGGGCGCAACCTAGACATTGTTTTCATATTTTTTTCCCATTTGGTTCCGTTTTATCCGTGAGTGCTTCGCCCCCTGCCGCTGGCCCCCCCTCTCTCGGATCATGGGCTATGCGAGAGCTGATTCATAAGGCCTCTGCGCCGCCGTGAAGCAGCGTCGGCAAGAGACATTGAGATTCTGATGATATTGTCGAATTCAGTGTTGCATGTTGAACCCGCCCCCGTATGCTGTGCATTGAGGTTTCCCACAGAATTTCCGACATGTGGCAAATCCCTTTGGTTTTTCAACCCTGACCCTGCTGATCTGCGTGAGGGGTGCCGCCAGATTTCAGACATGTGGCAAATCTTATTGGTTTTTCGACTCTGGCCCCGCCGATCTGCGTGAAGGGCGCCGCCGAATTTTAGACATGCGGCAAATTCCATTGGTTTTTCGACCCTGGCTCCGCCGGTCTGGAGGGGTGCCGCAGAATTATTGAAATGTGGCAAATCAAATTTTTTTCGACCCTGGCTCCGCCGATCTGCGTGAGGGGTACCGCCGAATGTTTAGAAATGTGGCAAATCCCATGCGTTTTTCGACCCTGACCCCTGCCGATCTGCGTGAGGGGTGTCAATTTCGACCCCACCCAGAAATTCTGAGACCCCGCCCAGGAGACCCTAATAGGGCTGATTTTCGGTCCCCCCCCCTCGCGCGTTCTCCAACAAGGAACAGTAAGCAGCATAAAGCAATGCAGTGCTGTAGCAGTGGAAACTGGAAACTGGAACTGGTGCAGGGAACAGCAAACCCTCGTCCTACAGCCTGGTGGCCCCGCAAGGGGGCCAGCGGACTTTTGTTTTATGTTGTGAACGCGTTTCAAAACACGTTTTCGCATGCTCTGAACGCCGGCCGTCGCGCCCATGCGTTTTGGCCACTGGGCTGCCGTTTTGTTGGTCGTTCTGTTCTGGCACAGGCAGGTGCCGCACGTTTTGTTGGGCGTTCTGTTTTGGCGCCGGCAGGCGCCGCTTGTTTTGTTGGCGTTTTGTTGTGCTGCCAGCACAACCCCCTAGTACACCCCCCTGGCGCAACTCCCCAGCACAACCCCAAGCACAACCCCAAGCACAATCCCCAGCACGACCCCCCAGCGCAACCCCCTGGCACAACCTCGGCAGCACGACCCCCCAGCACAACGCCCCAGCACATCCCCCCAGCACAAGCCCCAACCCGCTTCCCCAGCACACTCCCCCAGCACAACCTCCAGCACAACCTCTCAGCGCAATCCCCCATCACGATCACCGGCGCAACCCCTCAGCACAACCCCCTCAGCACACCCACCAGCACAACCCTCCAGCACGCACCCCTCCCCCGCATAATCCCCCAGCACCACCTCCAGCACAGCCCCCATCGCAAACCCTCGGCGCAAACTCCAGCGCAACCCCCCAGCATGACTCCCTGGCACAACTCCCCAGCAAAACCCCTCAGCACAACCCATCAGCACAACCTCCCAGCACAGTCCCCCAGCACAGCCCCTCAGCATAACCCCCCAGCACAACCCCCAGCACAACCCCCCCGCATAATCCCCCAGCACAGCCCCCAGCACAACCCCCAGCATATTTCCTTGGCACAACCCCCAGCACAATCCCCCAGCACAACCTCCCATCATAATCTTCCTGCACAACTCCCAGCACAGTCCCCCTTGGCACAACCCCCAGCACAACCTCCAAGCATAACACCCTGGCACAGTCCCCCAGCGCAATCTCTCAGCGCAACCCCTCAGCACAACCCATCAGCACAACCCCCAGCACGACCCCCAGCACAATCCACCACCAGCAGAACCCCCAGCACAATCCCCAGCACAACCCCCTCAGCACACTCCCCCAGCACAACCCCCCAGCACAACACCCCAGCATAATCACCCAGCAAAATCCCCCAGCACAACCCCCAGCACAACCCCTTGGCACAACCCCCAGCACAACCTCCAAGCATAACCCCCTGGCACATTCCCCCGCACAACCCCTCAGCACAACCCTTCAGCACAACCCCCCCAGCACAACCCACTAGCACAACCCCCCAGCAGCCTCCCCCCAGCACAACCCCCTAGTACAACTCCCCAGCACAACCCCCCAGCACAACCCTCCAGCACCCCCCCCCGCACAACCCCCAGCACAACCCTCTGGCACAATCCCGTGGCACATCTTCCCAGCGCAACTCCCCGGCGCAACACCCCAGCACAACCCCTCACCACAAACCCCTAGCACAACCCCCCAGCACAATCCCGGGGGGTTGTGCTGGGGGGTTGTGCTGGGGGGGGAGGGGTTGTGCTGGGGGGGGGTTGTGCTGTTTTGTTCACTCGCTGTTTTGTTCTAGAACGGCCCGCGCGACGCCGGCCGGCGTTTGCGCTCAAACTTCGTTTTTGAGCGAAGACGAAGCGTGAACAGAAAGCACTGTTCAGGTCGTGCCCTGCTGCAGGATGAGTCGGAGGGGCTCAGGTTTTGGCACATCAAGGTATTCAGCGGCCTGGTCGGCATCCTCGTGACGAACGTCTTGGGCACGCTGTATTTCTGGCGCGCCGACCTCCCACGCGTCGCTGCACTGGCCGCCCTGGACTTGGATACCCCTTTCCTCATCGCGACGCAGGCGGAGGACTACGCCAAAGGTCGGAGGAGGGCCCATTGAGAGACCAGCGGCGAGAAAACGGCAGTCCTCCCGCCTGGCCCAAATCCGCTCGACATCGGCATCCAGACCCGTCTCGGGGCCCAAGCGCGCCAGCTTGCCAAGCTGCGTCCGCGGCGGCGAGGGCCCGCGAGACAATCCTTGCCCGGGAAAGAGAGCGCGCCTCCTCCTCCGCCTGGGGCCTGGGCCAGGGGACTTCGAGATCCGATGAAGAGAGGATGTCTCGCGGAAGCGGCGCAACGGGTATGTCCCGACCCCGGGAGCTCGACTCGGAACCGACCGGATTCGGACCCGACCGAATCTGGACCCGCCTGGCTTGGTCGCACTGCGCTCGGACTGGCCGCACCTGGGCCCGGCCGGACTCGGACCCGGCCAGATCCGGACCAGCGGAACTTTGCGCCTCGGCGGACCTCGGACCCAGCCGAACACGGACGTGCCGTGGGGCCGTTGACGTCCCCGGCGTGACGTGTCCCGGCACGTTCCCCTGCGCGTCGCTCGGCGTGGCACGCTCCCTGGCTTGTCCTCTGTCGCGTCTCCTGGCTCGTCCCCGGGCGCTGCCCCTGCCCACTCCGTGGGCGCGCCCCTTGCAGCGTCCCTGGGCAGGGCCTCCTCTGGCCGCCCCATGGCACGCGCCTTGGCACGACCCGTGGCAGGTCCCCGACACGTCCAGGGCACGTCCCCTGATCGGGTGTTGCTAGAAGTGCTCCTGGGCCAAGGTGCCCCCAGGATTTCCAGGAAGGCGCTCACGGCCTCCAGAGCACCCCTCACGAGGCCCAGAGGGCCCCAGGGGCTTCGAGATTGATCGAAAAGCTGGGGGCACCTTGGGCCAGGGGCACCTTTAGCAACCCCCGACCTGATACGTCCCCTGACACGTCTGTGGCGCGTCCGTGAGCCTGTGCTGCGTGTCGTGTCGTTCCTTTTCGGAGCTAAGTCGGATTTTGAGGTCGAGTTGATTGAACGTCCCGCACGTTTCCGCTTCAACTAGCTCTGGAGCAGCTATGAAGCGCTCAGGCAGGTCGAGCTTAAGATCCATGTCAGTTCGGTCAGGACTCGGATGCAAATGAGAACTCGATCCACAACGATACCAAACACAATCGCTGCATGGGACACTGCAAGCCAGCACGGCGCAGCACAACGCAGCACAACCCTTGTCACGGTACAACAGAAAGAGCGCGTTCTGTGGTCGCTCTGAGGGGGGAGAGGTGGAATTGGACCCCCCCCTCCCTTTCCCTGGATGGAGGGGGGGGGGGTTCGAACCCCCCCCCTCCCGTGACGGAGGGGGGGGGTGGTTCGACCCCCCCCCCCGTTCGGCGGCGGCGGCTGGAGGCGGTGGCGGCTGGCGGCGGCGGCGGGGACGACGATTTCCTTTTCTGGCTCGGCGCCGGCGCCTGCGGCGGCGGGCGGCGGCGGCGGAGAGCGTCGACGAGGACGACGGTGTTGGTTTGGTGGTGGTGGTGGGTTGTGGTGGTGGTGGTGGCGGTGGTGGTGGTTGTGGTGGTGGTTGTGGTGGCGTGGTAGATTGTGGTGGTGGTGGTGGTAGTGCTGGTGGGTTTTTCCCGGAAAGGGCGTAGGCCCAGGGTTTTCTTTTAGTGGGTTTACCTTTGGTTTTGACTTGAAGGGGTCCGGCGAAATTATTCTGCGTAAATGACGAGGTACAGTGTTGATTTTAGTCGAAAAAGTGCGTTTCGTGCTTGCCCGCTCGAGGGAAGTGCGCCCCCCATTTCGGATCCTCGATAAAAAACGGGGTACGCAGACCCCCGTTTTCCTTCGGAAGAAAGGGGGTGCGGAGTGTTTTTCCCGGAAAGGGCTCGAGCCCAGGGTTCTCTTTTAGTAGGTTTACCCCCTCGGTTTTTACTTGAAGGGGGCCGGCGAATTTCTTGTGCGTAAATAACGAGGTCGAGTGCTGATTTTTTTTTTTAAAAAGTGCATTTCGTGCGTGCCCGCTCGAGGAAAGTGCGCTCCCCATCTCGGATCCTCGATAAAAAACTGGGTCCGGAGACCCCCGTTTTCTTTTGTAAAAAAGAGGGCGCGCAGCGTTTTTCGCAGAATCCTACACAAATAACGGGGTCTGGAGCCCCGACCGCGACGCAGAAAAGCGCCCCGCGCGCAGGAATTCCGAGGATGTATCGCGCGTGCCGCGTCCCGCGCGCAGGAATTTCGAGGATGTCTCGACCAATTCGCTTGTTTTGCCATGATTTCTTTGGATTTTGACAGGATGTCTCGAGCGAAACGCTTGTTTTTCAGAATTTGTTGAGGATGTCTTGAGCGAAACGGTGGTTTTGCAAAATTGGGGGGATGTCTCGAGCGGGAGCCTCGTGGGTGGCCAGAATTGAGAGGATGTCTCAAGCGAAATGCTTGCTTTCACGCCCCGCGCGCAGGAATTCAGAGGATGTATCGCGCGTGCCGCGTCCCGCGCGCAGGAATTTCGAGGATGTCTAGACTAATTCGTTTGTTTAGCGAGGATTTCTTTGGATTTTGACAGGATGTCTCGAGCGAAACGTTTGTTTTTCCCGGAAAGGGCATGGGGCCCAGGGTTCTCTTTTAGATTGTTTAAAGAACCCCCTCTCGGTTTTTGCCGGCGAATTTTTGTGCGATAAATAACGAGGTAAAGTGCTGATTTTTTTTGAAGAAGTGCGTTTCGTGCGTGCCCGCTCGAGGAAAGTGCGCCCCCCATCTCGGATCCTCGATAAAAAACGGGGTCCTGAGACCCCCGTTTTCTTTTGTAAAAAAGAGGGCGCGGAGCGTTTTTCGCAGAATCCTACACAAGTAACGGGGTCTGGAGCCCCGACCGCGACGCAGAAAAGCGCTCCGCGCGCAGGAATTCCGAGGATGTATCGCGCGTGCCGCGTCCCGCGCGCAGGAATTTCGAGGATGTCTATACTAATTCGCTTGTTTTGCCATGGTGTCTTTGGATTTTGACAGGATGTCTCGAGCGAAACGCTTGTTTTTGCAGAATTTGTTGAGAATGTCTCGAGCGAAACGCTGGTTTTGCAAAATTGGGGGGATGTCTCGAGCGGGAGCCTCGTGGGTGGCCAGAATTGAGAGGATGTCTCAAGCGAAATGCTTGTTTTCACGCCCCGCGCGCAGGAATTCAGAGGATGTATCGCGCGTGCCGCGCCCCGCGCGCAGGATTTTCGAGGATGTCTCGGCTAATTCGTTTGTTTAGCGAGGATTTCTTTGGATTTTGACAGGATGTTTCGAGCGAAACGTTTTTTTTTTTTTTTTTTTTTACCATAATTTGTT